GCATGAAACTAGAAATGTGTGAGATGGCTTTCCATTATCCTGGGTCTCTGAGTGATTATAATGCCAACCCACAATGGACATGGAGCTTGAGTGAGAAGTAAACCTTTGTTTTTGTAGGTCATTGAGATTTGGAGTAAGTTTACTATAGAAGCAAATAGCCTATCTTGAGTGATACAGAAATCAGTATCAGGAGTGAGGTGCTGCTGTAACCAAAAATAAAAATGTATGGCATTGGCTTTGACGCAGGGCAAAGGGAACAAGGAAATTTATTTGAAAGCAGCAGGATGGAGACTGTTGCCTGAGATACTTTTAAAGGCAGATAATATACTTCATGAACTTGCAGCTTTAGGGGAAGCAGTTGGAATACAGAAGAGTAGGAGTGAAAATTCATTAAAGTTGGCCAAAAATTGGGAAGGCCTTTGAGAGACAAAATCCAGTTAGCACTCAGATTCTGCCAAGGATAAAATCAAGGGTACAGCCCTAATTAAATCATTATTAACCATTGTTAAAATCTCTGAATGAATTAAAATGCTCCCAGAAAATCCTTAAGATACTCCCAGGTAGGCAAAAGGGCTCAGTGAAAGAGAGATGAAGAATATGGCTCTCCATATCTCCTGATATGGTGCCTCTGTCATGACAGAGAGAGAGAGAGAGAGACAGGGAGGGAGACTGATGGGGAACACCTTGAACAGAACTGTGGATGTGGGTTTTTGGCAAGTGGAGTTGGCTGGAGGCTTATAAGAATCCTTAGGTCCCAAACTTTGGAAGACAGGGAAAAGGCTGAGAACACTGCTCATGTGGGAAGGAGGGCACATCTTTCAATGCCACCTCAGATGCAGCCAAGGTTAATGATGGAAAAAGAGACATCTCTCTGGAGAGTGGAGACATGAGCCACAGGGAACAAAGATTTAGAAAACACCCGCAGCCCACCTCAGTGAGCTGATCTGGTGCTATCTAATTAAGCAGTCCTTCCCAGTTACGAGACAGGAGGACCTTGCAGTATTTCCTCAGTGGATTGTAGAAATGGTGCAGGCCAGTGATTTCTGTGTACTCCAGAACGTGCAGCAGGCCCAGGTTTCATTCCACTTGGGGCTGATGCCTGAGTTCTGTGGGTGACTTCATAATGCCCAGGATAGTTCCCAGCATCCTTTTGTAGTCTCGGGCTACCATGTTGGCCCCCCTTTGGCTGCTTAGCCTTTCTCTCCCCACTCTGTGGGCCCAGATATTAATCAGGTGTTCCTATAAGAGTCTCTGCCAGCAGGCCCTAGTCTCGGGCAATGATGTTGTCCTGCAGTGTGACTATCCCAAATCACTCTGGTACTTCTCTTCCATTCTGGGGGAAGATCCCTTCCTGCTCTCCTCGATGCCTAACATAAAGAAACTGCCTGGAGGCAGCCTTCAACTGACCAACCCTCAGCCATCCCAGACAGGCCTCTATCACTGCCAGGACAGTGACAATGCCCTTGTGGTAGAGTATGAGATTGATTTCCAAGATGTCAGCACCCTGCATATTACACACAAAGGCCTGGGCCAAAAGCCCCTGCAGAATGAGACCCTGAGTCTGGGTGGCCATGTACTCATCTTCACCCAGTGGGAGCCCTGGCAGGACTGTAACCGCTGTGGGGAGCCGGGGGAGCGGAAGCGCCTGGGCTACTGCTACGTTGAGGAGCCCCTGGAAAAAGCCATGCCCTGTTGGCTCTATCTGAGAACGGAGAAGGCACACTCCACCCGTCTGCGGCCTGAACTGCAGGTGGAAGCCTGCCTTGTACCCTGCGAGCACGTCAAGGAAACCAACCAGCCATACTTCATCTTTGACATTTATCAGTTGGGCAAGATGACCGACACCATGTGGCTTACCTGCCCCTTGGCCTCCATCTACAGGTGACTGGACCAGGGCATCAGCCCTGCCTTTGATCCTCGCCTAGGCTTTGTTTCCTATGCCCACGTGAGGCAGGGGTTTGCCTTCCAGTGGGAACGCAGGCTCTGTCTCCCAGCCTGTAAGCCTTCATGGTCAGTCTAGGAGGGGGTCTCTTCACTGGCTTGTTCAGATGTTTATTCAGTAGGAACTTCTTCTGCTCCTTCCCAAGCCAGACCCCCGGGCAGGTGATGCTGGGGACACAGTGGTGACCAAAAGGGTTGGCTGTTTGTATATATATTTTGGAGTCAGCTTGTAGTTTCCATCCCCCCACCAAATCCTATTTTTTAATAAATTGGGACTTCATTGAACCTAAAGATAAATTTGGGTAGAATCAATATATTATAATATTCAGACTTCCAATCCATGAACATCATAAATATTCCTATTATTTAGGCTTTGTTTAATTTCTCCCCGTAATGTATAGTTATTAATATAGAGATGTTACATATATTTTATTATGTTTATTCTTAAATACTTCATTTGTCATGCCATTACACATTGTGTTTTCTTTTATGGATTTTTAAAAAAAGATTTTATTTATTTATTTATTTATTTATTTATTTATTTGACAGAGAGAGAGAGATAGCAAGAGCAGGAACACAAGCAGGGGGAGTGGCAGAGGGAAAAGCAGGCTTCCCGCCGAGCAGGGAGCCCGATGCAGGGCTCGATCCCAGGACCCTGGGATCATGACCTGAGCCAAAGGCAGATGCTTAATGACTGAGCCACCCAGGCACCTCTTCTTTTATGGATTTATAATGCATGATTTAATAAGTTGGTACATGAAATAAAATAATCCAAGGTTGTAGAGAGTGTTTTGACTATTGACAAAATTTTAATATACCTGATATTAAAATCTGATTCAAGTCACAGATATATATTATAAATATGACACACAATATACATTATATATATTATTATAATATATTATATTATTATACATTATTAAATATATTATGTTGTACACATGAAACTAATATAATCTTATATTTCAATTATACATCCCCACCATATACAGAGAGAATGTCATAGTTGAAATATGACATTATATTAGTTTCAGGTGTACAACGTAATGATTCAAGATTTCTATACACTGTGAAATAATCACCACAATAAGTCTAATTACCATCCATCTCCGTACAAAATCACAAAAATTTTTTTCTTGTCATAAGAACTTTTAAGATTTACTCTCTTAAAAACTTTCAAATATGTAATAAAATATTATTGACCTCTGTCACCATTTGTCCATTACATCTCCATGTGCATTACATCTCCATTTATTTATTTTATAACAAACTTATAAGTTTGTAACTCTTGACTCCCTTCACCCATTCCACCCACCCCTCAACCTTCCTCTCCTCTGGCAACCAACAATCTGTTCTTCGTATCTATTTTGTTTGTTCATTTGTTTAGTTTTTTAGATCCCATGTGTAAGTGGCATCGTATGGTATTTGTCTTTCTGTCTGATTTATTTCACTTAGCATAATGCCGTCAAGGTCTACCCATAGTGTCGCAAATGGCAAGATTTCATTCTTTTTTAATGGCTGATAGTAGTCTGCTGTGCATATATACTATGTCTTCTTTATCCATTCATCCATTGATGGGCATTTAGGGTGTTTCTGTATCTTGGCCATTGTAAATAATGCTGCAGTGACCATAAGGATACATATATCTTTTCAAATTAGTGTTTTCATTTTCTTCAGATAAGTTCCCAGTGGTGGAAATGCTGGATCATATGGTTGTTCTATTTTTAATTTTTTTTTAAAGATTTTATTTATTTATTTGAGAGAGAGAGACTGAGAGAGAGAGAGAGAGCATGAAAGGGGGGAGGGTTGGAGGGAGAAGCAGACTCCCTGCCGAGCAGGGAGCCCGATGCGGGACTCGATCCAGGGACTCCAGGATCATGACCCGAGCCGAAGGCAGTCGCTTAACCAACTGAGCCACCCAGGCGCCCTATTTTTAATTTTTTGATGAACCTTCATACTGTTTTCCATCGTGGTTGTACCAGTTTACATTCTCACCAACAGTGCACAAGGGTTGCTTTTTCTCCACATTCTCATCAACACTTATTTCTTATCTTTTAAATAATAACCATTCTAACAGATGTAATGTGATATCTCATTGTGGGTTTGATTGGAATTTCCCTGATGATAGTGATGTTGAGCCTGTGCATGTTCATGTGCCTGTTAGCCAGATGTATGTTTTCTTTGGAAAAATGTCTGTTCAGATGCTCTGTCCATTTTTAAGTTGGATTATTTGGCATTTTTTGTTTTTGTTTTTGGTATTGAGTTGTATAAGTTCTTTATATATTTTGGATATTAACCCCTTATCCAAAAAAGAGTTTTCAAATATTTGCTCCCATTCATTAGGTTGCCTTTTCATCTCGTTGATGGTTTTCTTTGCTGTGCAGAGCATTTTAGCTTAATAGCCACTTGTTTATTTTTACTTTCGTTGCCTTTGCTTTTGGAGTCAAATCCAAAGATTTGTTACCAAGACCAATGTCAAAGAAGTAACTGCCTATATTTTCTGTTAGGAGTTTTATGGTTTCAGGTCTTTATTTAAGTCTTTAATCCATTTGAGTTCATTTTTGTGTATGGTGTAACATAGGGGTCTAGCTTCATTCTTTTGCATGTAGCTGTCCACAGTTTTTTCCAACACCATTTGTTAAAGAGATTGTTCTTTCCTCATTGTATATTCTTTTTTTTAAGTTTTTTTTTATTTTGATGAAGTCCAGTTTATCAGCTTCTCCCCCCCTTTTTTTTAAGATTTTATTTATTTATTTGACAGAGAGAGAGAGCACAAGCAGAGGGAGCTGCAGGCAGTGGGAGAGGGAGAAGCAGGCTCCCCACCGAGCAAGAAGCCCAATGAGGGACTCGATCCCAGGACCCTGGGACCATGACCCAAGCCAAAGGCAAATGTCTAACTGACTGAGTCATCCAGGCGCCCTTCCTTATTGCATATTCTTGATTCTTTATCATAAATTAATTAACCATATACACGTGAGTTTATTTCTGGGCTCTCTGTTTGTTCTGTTGATCTATGTGTCTATTTTTATGCCAATACCACACTATTTTGATTACTATAGCTGTGTAATATAGTTTGAAATCAGGGAGTGTGATGCCTCCAGCTTTGTTCTTTCTCAAGATTGCTTTGGTTATTTGGGGTCTTTGGGGTTCCACACAAATTTTAGAATTATTTGTCCTATTTCTGTAAAAAATGCCATTGGAATTTTAATAGGGATTGCCTTGAATCTATAGATTGCTTTGGGTAATATGGACATTTTAGGAATATTAATTCTTCCAATCCATGAGCACAGAATATCTATTTATTGGTGTCTCCTTCAGTGACTTATAATTTTCAGTGTACAAGTTTTTCACCTCCTGGGTTAAATTTATTCCTAGATATTTTATTCTTTTTGATGCAAATGTAAATACGGTCATTGTCTTAATTTCGCTAATAATAGATAATGTATAGAAAGGCAACTGATTTTTGTACATTGATTTTGTATCCTACAACTTCACTGGATTTGTTTATTTTAGCAGTTTTTTGGTGGAGTACTTAGGGTTTTCTATATATAAAACATATTATCCACAAGTAGTGATGGTTTTACTTCTTCCTTTCCAAGTTGGATGTCTTACTTCTTTTTTCTTGTCTAATTGCTTTGTCTAGGATTTCCAATACTGTGTTGAATAAAAGTGGTGAGAGTGGGCATCTTTGCCTTGTTCCTGATCTTAGAGGGAAAGCTTTCAGCTTTTCACCATTGAGTATGATGTTAACTGTGGGCTTGTCATATATGGTCTTTGTTATGTTGAGGTACATTCCCTCTATACACACTTTGAGAATTTTTGTTATAAATGGTTGTTGAATTTTGTCAAATGCTTTTTCTGTATCTACTGAGATAATCATATGACTTTTATCCTTCATTTTGTTAATGTGGTGTATTGCATTGGTTGATTTGTGGATGTTGAATCATCTTTGCATCCCTAGGATAGATCTCATTCGATCATGATTTATGATCCTTTTAATGTATTGCTGAATTTGTCAGGGATTTTTGCACCTGTGTCCATCAGATTAGCCTGTAATTAATTTTCTTCTGTTCTTTCTTTCTTCTTTCCTTCCTTCCTTCCTTCCTTCCTTCCTTCCTTCCTTCCTTTCTTTCTCTTTCTCCCCTTCCTTCCTTCCTTTCTTCTTCCCTTCCCTTCTCTTCTCCTTCTCCTCCATCCTCTTCCTCCTCCCTCTCCTTCTCCCTCCTCTCCTTCTTCTCCTAAAAATAAGTTTGAAAGCATTTCTTACTCTACAATTTTTTGCAAGAGTTTGAGAAAGATAAGTATTAAATCTTCTTTGAATGTTTGGTGGAATTCACCAGTGAAACTGTCTGGTCCTAGACTTTTGTTTTTTTGGAGGTTTTAGATTACTGATTCAATCTCCATACTAGTAATCAGTCTTTTTGGATTTTCTGTTTCTTTATGATCCAGTCTTGGAAGATTTTATATTTCTAGAAGTTTATCTGTTTTTTCTTGGTTGTCCAATTTGTTGGCATATAATTGTTCACAATAGTCTCTTATGATCCTTTATATATAAATTTTAAAGATTTATTCATTTATTTTAGAGAGATAGAGTGTGCACAGGTGGGAGGGGCAGAGGGGGAGGGGCAGAGAATCTCCAGCAGACTCCACACTGGGTGTGGAGCACCATGTGGGGCTCAGTCTCACAACCCTGAGGTCATTACCTGAGCCAAAACCAAGAGTCAGACGCTTAACTGACTATACCACCCAGGCGCCCTGTGATCCTCTATATTTTTGTGGTATCAGTTGTAACTTCTCCTCTTACATTTCTGATTTTATTTATTTGAGCCCTTTCACTTTTTTTTAGTGAGTCTAGCTAAAGGTTTGTCAGTTTTGTTTATCTTTTCAAAGAACCAACACTTAATTATGTTGATCTTTTCCACTGTCTTTTGAGTTTCCATTTCATTTTTTTCTGCCCTGAACTTTATTAGTTCCTTCCTTCTACTAACTTTGGGTTTCATTTGTTCTTCTTTTTCAGTTTCTTTAGGTGTAAAGTTAGATTGCTTATTTGAGATTTTTCTTTTTTCTTGAGGTAGACTTGTATCGCTATGAACTTCCCTCTTAGAACTGCTTTTTCTATATCCCATAGATTTTGGTATGTTGTATTTCCATTTTCATTTGTCTCAAGGTGTTTTTGATTTCTCCTTTCATTTCTTCATGGACACGTTGATTGTTCAGGAGCATGTTATTTAATCTCTACATATTTGTGATTTTTTTTCCAGTTTTCTTCTTGTAATCGATTTCTAGTTTCATACTATTGTAGTTGGAAAAGTTGCCTGATATGATTTCAGTCCTCTTTAATTTATTGAGACTTGTTTTGTGGCCTAACATTTAATCTATCCTAGGGAATGTTCTGTGTGCACTTAAGAAGAATGTGTATTCTACTGCTTTGGATGGAATGTTCTGTTATGTATCGATTAAGTCCATATTGTCTAATGTGTCATTTAATGCTGATGTTTCCTTATTGATTTTCTGTCTGGATGATCAATCCATTGATGTAAGTAGCATATTAAAGTCCCCTACTATTGTTTTACTGTCAGTTTCTCCCTGTTAATATTTGCTTTACATATTTAGATGCTCCTATATTGAGGGCATTAATATTTACAGATGTTATATCTTGTTGTATTGAACTCTTTATCATTATGTAATGCCCATCTTTCTCTTTTATTGCAGTCTTTTTAAAAAAATATTTTATTTATTTGAGAGAGAGAAAGCACAAACATGGGGGTGGGGAGAGGGAGAGGGAGAAGCAGACTTCCCACTGAGCAGGGAGCCCAGCACAGTGCTCTATCCTAGGACCTTGGGATCATGAGCCACCCAGGTGTCCCAGTCTTTATTTTAAAATCTATTTTGTTAGGCGCCTGGGTGGCTCAGTCGATAAGCGTCTGCCTTCGGCTCAGGTCATGATCCCAGGGTCCTGGGATCGAGCCCCGCATCGGGCTCCCTGCTCCGTGGGGAGTCTGCTTCTCCCTCCCCCACTCCCCCTGCTTGTGTTCCCTCTCTTGCTGTCTCTCTCTCTCTGTCAAATAAATAAATAAATAAATCTTTAAAAATAAATAAATAAATAAATAAAATTTATTTTGTCTGATATAAGTAAGCTACCAGCCCTTTGTTTGTTTATTTTCATTTGCATGAAACATCTTTTTTTATTCCCTCACTTTCAGTTTGTGTGTAACTTTACATCTGAAGTGAGTCTCTTATAGGCAGCATATAAATGGGTCTGGGTTTTTTTCTTTTTTTAAATCCATGCAGCCACTCTATGTCTTTTTTTCTTTTTTAGAGACATAGAGAGAGAGAGCAGGGGAGGGCAGAAGGTGAGGGAGAGAGAATCTTAAGCAGGCTCCACTCCCAGTGCAGAGCCCAACACAGGGTTTGATCTCACAACCCTGAGATCATGACCTGAGCTGAAATCAAGAGTCGGATGCTTCACTGACTGAGCCACTCAGGCACCCTTATGTCTTGTGACTGGAGAATTTAGTCCACTTAATGATTTAAAGTAATTATTGATAGGTATATATTTATTCCCATTTTGTTAATTGTTTTCTGGCTGTTTTGTAGTTCCTCTCTGTTTCTTTATTCTTCTCTTGCTCTCTTCCCTTGTGGTTTGATTACTTTCTTTAGTGTTATGGTTAGATTCCTTTCTCATCTTTTGTGTATCTAGTATATGGTTTTTGCTTTGTGGTTACCATGAACTTCACATATAATGGCTTATATATGTAATAGTCTATTTTAAGGTGACAGCAAGATAAGTTGAACACATTCTTTTTTTTTTTTTTTTTCCGATTTATTTATTTATTTGAGAGAGAGAGAACATGGAGAGAGAGGGAGAAGCAGACTCCCTGCTGAGCAGGGAGCCCAATGCAGGATTCGATCCCAGGATGCTGGGATCATGACCTGAGCAGAAGGCAGATGCTTAACTGACTGAGCCACCTAGGGGCCCCAGTTGAACACATTCTAAAACTCTGCATTTTTACTTCCATTTTATGTTTCTGACATCACATTCTACATCTTTTTATTTTTGTGTATCCCTTAACTAATTATTATGAGTATAGTTATTTTTGCTAATTTTGCCTTTTAACCTTCATACTAGTTTTGTGATTAATCCACTACCTTTACTATATATTTATCTTTACCAGTGAGATTTTTACTTTCATTCACTTCTTGTTACTAATTAGTGCCCTTTCTTTTCAGCATAAGGAAGTTCTTTTAACATTTCTCATAAGGCTGGTTTAGTGGCAATGAACTTCTTTAACTTCTGCTTGTCTGGAAAACTTGTTTCTCTCTTCAGTTCTAAATGATAACCTTTCTAGGTAGAGTATTCTTGGTTGGAAGTTTTTTCATTTCAGCATTTTGAATATATTTTTCCACTCCCTTCTGTCCTGCAACATTTCTGCTGAAAAATCTGCTGATAGTCTTATGGGGGGGGTCCCCTTGTATGAAACAAGTTGTTTTTCTCTCACTGCTTTTAAGATTCTCTCTTTATTCTTAACTTTTGACATTGTAGTTATAAATGTGCTTGGTGTGGATCTCTTTGGGTTCATCTTTTTTTTTTTTTTTTTTTGGAACTCTCTGGGATTCCTGGATCTGGATGTATGTTTAGGGAAGTTTTCAGCCATTATTTCTTCAAATAAGTGTTCTCCCTTCTCTTTCTCTCTTCTCCGTCTGAGACTCCTATAATGTGAATGTTATTCTGTTTTATATTGTCCTATAGGTCCCTTAAGCTATCTTTACTTTTTGAAATTCTTTTGTTTTTCCTTTTTGCTGCTCTGTGTGTGAGTTCCACTGCCCTGTCTTCCAGATCACTGATCTTTTCTTCTGTTTTATCTAGTCTGCTGTTGAACCTTTCTGCCCCTGTAGTGTATTTTCAGCTCAGTTATTGTTTACACTTCTCTGGCTTCTGTTTGGTACTTTCTTAGATTTTATTAATTAATTTTTTTTGGTTGAAGTTCTCACTGTGTTCATCCATTCTTCTCCTGAGTGTCTTTATGACCATTACTTTGAACTCTTACTCTATCAGGTAAATTAATTATCTCTATTTTTTTTTCTGAAGTTTTATCTTGTTCCTTCATTTGGAACAAACTCTTCTGTTTCCTCATCTTGCTCAACTATCTATGTTTGTTCCTATGTATTAGGTGAAACAGTTACCTCTCCCAGTCTTGAAGGAATGACCTTGTGTAGGAGATGAACCTTTATCATTCAACCTTGTCCTAGTTCTTGGTTTTCTCTTATACCTTTGTGATTGTCCAAGCAGCCTGACTTATTCTCAATAGGTCCCGGTTGTTGAGGGTGTGCCAAGACCTGTCAGAGTTTCAAAGGAAAGAATCTCAGTCAGCACCTAGTTTTTGGCTGATTGGAAACCAGACCCTCTGGCAGCAGCTTTCAAGTAATGCAAATTTATATAGTCCTATGGTACTGCAATTGTAAACCCTGCTGACCTCTAGACTAAGTGATCTACAGGTGTCCCTTGTGTGAGAGTAGTGAAAATCGGAGCTCCTGGTGAGTATATAAGCTCCTTTCTTGGAGGTAACAGTAAACTGTACTGAGACCAAGGGAGAGCACATAGTTGGTGTCCCTTGGCCTACATTCCCTGAGAACTCCTTCATAACCTCTAGATGTGTGGCAAACTAGAAGCCTGGCCCTCAGGCTAAAACTCTAGGATGAGTAAATAGGTCTTTTTCACAGGAAGACTGCGATGTGTTTGCTGTCTGGGGAGTGCCCTGGGGATAGTAGCCTGCCAAGAAGTGTCTCTCCAATTGTTTCAGTCCCATGGGACCCGGAAAAACAAACTCTCACACACACAGAAATATATATTTTTGTGTATCCCTTAACTAATTAAGGGATCCCCCCAACCAGCCACCAGAACCAGGCAATCAAGGGGAATCCCCTGTGTCAACTGTGTGTACCTGCTAGCTTTCATGGGGCAGGGGGAGAGCACAGGACTGGGTGCACCCATCAGCTTTGGCAGGGTTGCAGGTGAGGGCAGGGCTGGGACACATGCCTGTTAGCACTGGAGGGGCAGCTAGAGAGACAAATTGTATCTTTTAAATTTTATCTTCTAATTGTTTGTTGTTGGTCTATAAATATATATTTGGTATTTGGATTTTTTTTTTTAAAGATCTTATTTATTTATTTGTCAGAGAGAGAGAGCACACAAGCAGGGGGAGTGGCAGGCAGAGGGAGAAGCAGGCTCCCTGCTGAGCAAGGAGCCCAATGCAGGACTCCATCCCAGGACCCTGGGATCATGACCTAAGCCAAAGACAGACGCTTAACCAACTGAGCCACCCAGGCGTCCCTGTATTTGGTATTTGTATATGACTTTGTATCAAATTATTTTGTGAAATTCACTTACCTCCAGTAAAATGCTGAGTGGAGAAGCTGATGGCAGACATGCTTATGTTGTTCTTAATATTTCACTAGTAAATATAATACTGCTCGGGCGCCTGGGTGGCTCAGTCGGTTAAGCGGCTGCCTTCGGCTCAGGTCATGATCCCAGGGTCCTGGGATCGAGTCCCGCATCGGGCTCCCTGCTCAGTAGGGAACCTGCTTCTCCCTCTCCCTCTGCCTGCCTCTCTGCCTACTTGTACTCTCTCTCTTTAATAAATAAATAAAAATCTTTAAAATATATATATATATATATAATACTGCTCTAGGTTTTTAATAGAAAAACTATTAGATTAATAAAATTCCCTTTTATTCCTAGTTTTCCAAAAGTTTTGATCCATGAATGAGTGTTGAATTTTTTTGTGTTTGTGTGTTTGTTTGTTTTTTAAAGATTTTATTTATTTGAGAGAGAGAGCACATAAGAGGGGGGAGGGTCAGAGGGAGAAGCCGACTCCCTGCCGAGCAGGGAGCCCAATGCGGGACTCGATCCAGGGACTCCAGGATCATGACCTGAGCCGAAGGCAGTCGCTTAACCAACTGAGCCACCCAGGCGCCCAGTGTTGAATTTTATCAAATGCATTTTCCGCATCTCCTGAGATGATAATATGTTTTTTCTCCTTTATCATGATAATATGGTGAATTACATTTATTGTGTTCATATGTAAACCCAACCTTGCCTTCCTGGGATAAACCCAATGTGAACATGATATTTATTCTTTTTGTTTATCATTGGAGGAAATTTGGTAATATTTTGTTTAGGATATTGTGTCCTTGTTCATGAAAGAGATTGGCCTGATATTTTCCTTAGTTGTAATAACCTTATATGGTTTTGGTATTAAGGTGATGTAGGCCTCATAGAAGTTTGGAAGTGTTTCATCTTTTTATATTTCTGGAAAGATTTTGAAAGACTGATGCCATTTCTTAATTGTTAAGAAATATTTGGAAGAATTCAGTGGTAAAGCTTTCTGGCATTAGATGGTTTTTTGTGCATAGGTTTTTAATTACAGATTCAATTTCTTTCATTGTAAATATAGAGTAGTTCAGATTTTTTCTTGTGCCAGTGCTGTTAAGTTTTTCAATGAATTTATCCTTTTTATCTAAATTTTTATAAGTTTTGGCCAAAAGTTGTTTTTAATATCATCCGATTATCTTTTTATGCCTGTAAGATCTGTAGTAATGTCTCTTTTTTCATTACTAGTATTCATTATTTAGGCCTTCTTCCTGTTTTTGTCAAGCCCTGCATTGGGCTCCGTGCTGGGTGTGGAGCCTACTTAATAATAATAATAATAATAATAATAATAATAATAATAATAATAATAATTTTAAAAAGTCAGTGTAGGGTCTTATGATTGTTACTTTGAAAGCATGTATCTTTTTCTCTCTGGCCATTTTAATTATTTCCTCTTTGGTTTTCAGCAGCATTTTCCTATAACGGGCCTAGGTGTGGCTTCATTTATATTTATCCTGCATGGGGTTTGAAGGCCATCTTGAATTTGTTGCTTGATGTCTTTCTCAGTTTTGGAAAGTTTTCATTCAGTGTCTTAAAATATTACTCATGTTCCTGTCTCTCCTTTGCTTCTGAGTCTACATTTACATGAATGTTAAAACTTTTCACCATGTCATATATGTCTCTTACACTCTTTTCTGTATTTTCTTATCTTTTTTTTTTTTTTTTTGCATGCTTCAGTGCAGATATTTTTCTGTGGGCCCATCTTTTATTTTCTTAATCCTCTTTTCTGTTGTGTTTAATAGCTTGCTACCCTTTCTAGTGAATTCTCAATGTCAGACATTTTATTTTTTAGTTCTAGTATTTCCATTTGATTCTTCTATATAGGTTCAAAATCCTCATCTTGTCTTCTCCTGGACATATTAATCACAGTTATCTTAAAGTCTATAGTTGTTATTAGGAAGAGTGTTAGTTTGATATAAGCTTCTCAATTGTAGCAGTAAGCAGAAACCTTACCCACACTATTTTTAAAGAATAGCAGGGAATCTGGATTCTCATATGAAATCTCTTGGATTTTACATGTTGGTCACTGATTTAAATATTCTAAAAATGTCCTAGGGAGACCAATGAAAACATTTATTCAGGCTGGATCCAGCCAGTTTGTTACTTCTCACCTAGACAATGTGAAAATCAGAAGTGGGGTATTGCAGTTTCCGCATAGCCTTGCTTACTTGTTTAGAAAAGATTCCTGGGCGGGCAGAGGAGAGAGAGAGAGGCAGGGAGATGGAGGGGAGGCAACAGAAATGTAGATGTTAATGTGTCTCAGGTAGAGGGACTTTATAAGGTCCTGAGAAGAGACAAAAACTCTAGATGGTTTTAATAGATGTGAGAACAGAGGGGATGTGTGGCCCACTCCTGGGATGAAGGTGGCAGCAAAATGCCATAGAAGCAGCAGTTCCAGAGTCTAAGCGTACAGCTTATGCCAAACACAGCCTGTAGAGGTCCCCACATGGGACAGGGACACGGCTAACAGAGCCCCCAGCCATAAGGAGCCTGGGAGAGAGGAAGACAGGATGTCTTAGCAAAGACCCAAGTGAACCTCTAACCTCACTCCCCACTCTCCCCCTTGTCCACTACTCCTAGTCACTCTGGCCTCTATGCCCTTTAAATATGGCAGCCATATCAGGGTCTAGCCATCTCTTGGGAATATTCTTCCTTCAAATATCCACGTGGCTCTTTATCTCACTTTATTCAAGTGTTTGTGAAACTTTACCTCCTCAGCGAGTGCTCAGACAGGCCTGATCATCCTCCCTCAAATAGCTCACACCCACATACCAACCCTTCACTTTCTATCCCCATTTCCCTGCTCTTATCTTTAGCAATTATTGGGTAATCCTCATTATTTGAGGATTCCATACTTGTGAATTCACCTACTCGCTAAAATTTATTTGTAGCCCCCAGGTCAATACCCACAGTGGTTTTAAAGTCATCTGCAGACATGCATAGAGTGGTGGAAAAAATTGAGCCACCTAACAATGCGCATTCCCAGCTAAGGTCCAACACCATGACACTGCCTTCTGGTTTCAGCTCTCCTACTATTAACAAGTATCCTTTTCATGGTCTGTTTAGGGCCATTTTTTGTTGTTGTTGCATTTTTGTACTTTTTGTTGATTCTGCTATTTAAAATGGCTCCCAAGCAGAGCTGAAGCCCTGGCCAGTGTCCCTAAGCACAAGAAGGCCGTGATGTGTCTTACGAAGAAAATGCGTGTATTAGATAAGCTTTGTTCAGGCAAGTTAATGAATGAACAATATATATTAAATAAGAGGCCTTTAAAGAAAAATACACATAAAGCAAGGTTATGTGTTGAGTAGTTGACAAAAATGTTATGACCAAAGGCTTGTAGGACCTTAAGCCTGCATTTCTCCTAGGAACAATGTTTCAGTATTTGCTAATTCAGCAACTTTATAGAACCGTTATAACTGCTATGAATAAGGAGAATCTACTGTACCTGCTATTATTTTTATATATTTGCTTATTATCTCTCTCTTCCACCAGAAGGTAAGTCCCAGGGGGGAAGAAGCTTTATCTAAACTGCTCAGAGCAGTGATTAGAAGAAGGGCCAGCAAGCACATGGTAGGCCTTCAGTAAACATTTGTGAAATGAGTGAATGATGGCAGATCAAGCCTGCACAATAATTATTTTTAATTTCAGGACTGAGAAGAAGTTTAGGAAGGAGACACCTGAGAAAAATATTTATTTGTTTAAAATGAATTAAATCATGCCCCTATTTGTGGAAAGAGTCTGGGACCAGTGTGTGCAAAGGTCCTGAGGCAGGAGGAGCCTTTTGCTTGCCTGATGTTTTCAGAAGATGGCAGGGAGACCAGTGTGGCTGGGATAGGAAGTCAGAGTGGTAACCAGAGAGGATTTATTCACCTCTCCACGCCCACCACTAAGAATCGTGCCCAGAACATAGTCAGTGTTCAGAGAAAAATGTATCAAATACTCACATGTGACATTTGAATGCCAAAGCCGGGGATGGTAGAGAAAACCGTGAAGAGACAAATTAAGTTTCTTCCTATCCCAGCAGAGTGGAGGACTTGAAATAGAAATGAAATAGAGTTGTTAAATTGTCGCCAGTCAAATGGGGGTTGTGACCTCACACACCCCTGCTGTGGCCCATAGGACACCTCACCCTTACTGGGGCCTGGGTTTCAGGGGTGACTTCACAATGGCCAGCGTAGTGCCCTGCCCACTGCCACAGTCCCAGTCCATCATGCTTACCACCCTGTGGCTGTTGCTCAGCCTCGCCGTCCCCTTGCTGGGGTCCCACGCTTCCTTCAGCTGTCCCAACGAGAAGCAATGCCAAAAAGCCCTCCTCTCAGACAATGACATCTTTTTGCCCTGCAACTCTTCTGGGGCACAGTGGTACTTCTTATTCCTGCAAGACAAGACCAGCTGGTCTGACAAAGTCTCCAGTGTTTCCAACATCGAAATAATACCCGAAATCGGCATTCTCATCCGAAACCCGTTGCCCTCCCAGACGGGCTTCTACCATTGCCGGGACAAGAATGGCGTCCAAGTGGTGCAGTACGAGATTGATTTCCAGGATGTCAGCACCCTGCATATTACCCACAAAGGCCTGGGCCAAAAGCCCCTGCCGAACGAGACCCTGAGTCTGGGTGGTAAGGAGCTCATCTTCACCCAGTGGGATCCCTGGCAGGATTGTAACCGCTGTGGGGAGCCGGGGGAGCGGAAGCGCCTGGGCTACTGCTACATCGAGGAGCCCCTGCAGGAGCCCATGCCCTGCTGGCTCTACCTGGGACATCTGAAGCTGTGGTCTAGCCGCTTGCAGCCCGAGATGCAGGTGGAGGCCTGCCAGGTCCCGTGTAAAGTATCCACGTTGGATTACGTCACCTTTGACAACTTTGAGATCAATGAGGATTCAGGATCTGTGTGGCTCACCTGCCCCATGGGATCTATCTACAGGTGACTCTGCAGGCGTCCATTTAAGAGATGGGGAAACCACAGCTCGGAGGGGCACAGTCCTCCAGGGGGAGCCATGGTGACCCTAAATCCTACCCACTTGGCTGTGGGGTCCCCCTCGCCCTCCTTCCCCCACAGGCCTGTGGCAGCCCCTCCCTTGCAAAGGGGGAGCCCGAGCAACCTCTTGGGGCCTCTGCAGCCATCTGCTCTGTCAAATCTGGTCCCACCACCTCCGTCTGGTGTTCTTTTCCTTATTCCCGCTGTGACTTCTCTTCTCTTTCCCACAATCTCTTTTGTCTCCCTTCCTCCTTTTTTCCTCCTCCTTTAAGTATAAAAGTAGCACGTAGTCTCTACAAAGGCCCCACAGTTCAGGAAAGTACATGAGCCCCTGCTAGCTAGCCTGGGACACCTGCTCCATGTCATTTGCCAGACAAGCAGTTCCCAAGTGCCAGTCATCGGGAACCCCAGAGAAGAATCAAGAGAGGTGGGACGCCTGGACGGCTCAGCCAGTTAAGCATCCGACTCTTGATCTCAGCTCAGGTCTTGATCTCAGGGCCGTGAGTTCAAGTCCTGCGTTGGGCTCCATGCTGGGTGTAGAGAGAAGAGAGGTCACTGAGGCTTCCAAGAGTTGCCACGTCTCTAGGGAGCTGAGTAGAGTGGCATTCCATGTGAGGTTTATATCTTGGACTCTGGATTCAGCCAGGCCTGGTCTCCACACTTCCCAGCTTTGTAACTTTGGGCCTGTGGCTTCTCTCTGGGCCTCAGTCTCCCCGCCTGTTGAATGGGGGTTGTATGAGTTTCCTCGGGCTGTCATCACCAAATACCACGCACTGGGTGGCTTAAAACAACTGAAATGTGGTCTCTTACAGTTTTGGACGCCAGAAGTCCAAAGTGAAAGCTTCACCAGGGCCCTGTGCCCTCTGAGATGCTGGGTGGAAGCCGTCCTTGCTTCCTCCTCGCTTCTGGGAGTGGCGGGCAATCCTTGGCCTTCCCTGGCTTGCAGCTGCGTCCCCCCAGTGTGCCCGTCATCACTTGGCCTTTTTCCTGTGTGCTTGTGTCTGTGTCTGTCCTTTTCTTTTTTCTTTTTTTTTTTTTTAAGATTTTATTTATTTGACAGAGAGAGACACAGCGAGAGAGGGAACACAAGCAGGGGGAGTGGGAGAGGGAGAAGCAGGCTTCCCGCTGAGCAGGGAGCCCGATGCGGGGCTCGATCCCAGGACCCTGGGATCATGACCTGAGCTGAAGGCAGACGCTTAACGACTGAGCCACCCAGGCACCCCTTTCTGTCCTTCTCTTAAAAGGACATGGGTCACGTTGGATTTAGAGCCCAGGGACACTTCAGTCAGACCTCATCTTTTTTTTTTTTAAATATATATATTTTTTTATTTGATAGAGACACAGCGAGAGAAGGAACACAAGCAGGGAGAGTGGGAGAGGGAGAAGCAGCCTTCCCGCGAAGCAGGGAGCCCGATGTGGGGCTCGATCCCAGGACCCTAGGATCATGACCTGAGCCAAAGGCAGACGCTTAACGACTGAGCCACCCAGGCGCCCCCAGTCAGACCTCATCTTAACAAATTACATCGCCAACAACCCGATTTCCAAAGAAGGTCACCTTCCGAGGTTTAGAACATGCGTTTGGCGAGGACACTATCCAACTCAGTACGGCAGGCTTGCTGGCCCCGGCCTCATGGGGTCAATGTGATGTCTGAGGGGGCAAATGCCTATGAATAAAACATACGGTATTCTAGATGGTGATAGGGGCCGGGAGGGGGGGGATGGGAGCGGAGGAGAGGATCCGTTTAAATACGGAGGGCAGGGAAGCCATCTGAGAAGTTGCCAAGACTGAAAGGTGAGGGCGCCCTGTGTGCTGAGGGAGAGCACTCCCTGCGGAGGGAGGGGCAAAGGCCCTGAGGCAGGATGGGGCCCAGCCTTGTTGGAGGGCCGCTTCAGAGGCAGTGCGGCTGGGGCAGAGTGAGAAAGAGCAAGGGAGGGTGGAGAGAATGAGGTCAGGCAGGGAGAGCAGGGGTGGGGGGTGGGGGGCAATCACGTAGGCAGTGTCTCTCGCTCATTCCTCCAAATAGCCCTGTGAGGCGGGTACAGTCTTCACACCCCCAGTTTTCAGGCGATGGAGCGGAGGCTCAAAAAGCTAGAGGCCTATGCCCCTTGCCCATTTAGGGTGGGGTGGGGCTCCGAGCTCCCTGCCAGCCTGGCCCTGCCTTCCCCACGCACTCTTGGAGGGGGTGCCCTGTTGGCTGCTTCCCAGGGTGGAGGGTGCCGCTGTCTCCACCTCCTTCCAGACCTCCGTCTCCCATGCATCCCCGGGCTGCTGCAGCTCACCTTGTCCTCCTTTGCAGGCCCATCCTCTGGGAAATCAACGACATCCCCCTGACCTGGCAGAGCCAGCTCTCCAACCAGGACTTAAGCACCATTCTGGAACCCACCAACGGTGGCAGGCAGCTTCGGGTCTTCGAGCCAGCCATTTACAAGTGCTTCGTGAAGCAGGAACTCGTGGCTTACTTCAACCCCAAGCCCTTTCCGGATGTGCCGGAGATCCTCAGGCAAAGGGAAGCCGGACCACAACAGGAGTCAAGGGAGGCCTGGAAGGGGAAGGCCAGGTCCGTCCTCAAGGGGCTCAAGCTGATGCTGCTGGTGGGCATCGTCCTGGGCCTGCTCGCACAGCTGCTCAAGCTCTTCCATCCTTCCCAGGACAAAAGAAGCGACCGGATGCTGCTGGTGAAATAAAGAGACCCCTCGGTGCCCAGGACACCTGGTGTCCCTTGTCTTCATCCCCTGAGCTGTCCTTCCCATGGCACTTGGGGGTGGGGTGCAGGCAGGGGCACAAGACAGACCCACGGCTACAGCTGAGGCCGAGTCTTCCCTGTTCCAGGTCCTGCTCTGTTAACTCATTAGCAATCCCCATCTCAGAGATGGGGAAGCCGAGGCAAGACTACTGTCTAGAGACTGGCGAGGGGGGGGGGCGGGGGGGTCGTCCTGTGCAAACTCAGGTTGCCTGGCTCAAGTCTTGTGTTCCTCACCAGGAGGGAGGGATGGAATGAGGCCATTATCAGGGTGAGGCCCTGGGACTTGGTAAACTGTCGCCACCTTCCTGACTGCCCTCCCCCAAGGACAACGGCTGAGGCGGGGTGGGGGTGGGGAGCCCCCAGACGCTGCGGATCTGCTCTGGGGTGCTGCCTTTCCGTGCTTGTCGCCTGCCCCACCCTGGCCCAAGGTGCCTAGGGCCTTCAGCCTTAGCCATATCTCTCCTAGGCAGACGGTGCTGCCGGGGGGGGGTGGGGGGGGGGGCAGCCCAGGACTGCTGGACACGTGTCACCCTTCCTGGCTCCTGCAGTGCAGAGAGCCCCCTCAGGCCCCGAGAAGGAGAGAGAGAGCCCCTCTACCAGGACAAGGCGCCAGGCCAGGCCCTGCTGGCCCCCGGGAATCACCAAGCCTGGCTATTCCCAGAAATTATATACACTGTTCAGCAGAGTGCAAGAGTGATAAATAAAATATTAATGCCTTGGAAAATGCATTGCCCTGATATTCCATTGTGAAGCCACGATAGGACAGATCTGAAACTTCCAGAACAGAACTTCTGCCCCCGAGTAGGGGGCAGAGCTCACTCCTCACTTACCAGACACTGTTGCCAAAACCCTTAAGGCTTCACACGGCGCCCAAGACACAAAGATTCCCACAGAATGGGGGGACATTCGTGGAGAACTGAACAGGGTCCATCGGGAAGCAGAGGCAGAGAATCACGATGACAGGAATGGCAAATACCTGTGAACTTCCTGGCAGGATCAGAACTCACACCCTTCATGAACATTATGTCCTCATGGCCACCCATGAGGCTGGGGTTCCTACGAACCTCGTTTTGTAGTTGAGAACATCAAGGCACGGGGTTCAAGCACCCTGCCTGAGGTCACACAGTGAACTTGGGAGGAGGCCTCTGGGCGCCTCCCGACCAGCTCCCCAGGAACCCCCAGTGTCCGCACCCACAGGGGAACATTGTGTGGTAGCTCGGGGTGGAGGAACCAGAGCTGAGCCCAGGCCTGTCCGCTGTGACAGGCAGACCCTCAGGTGATCCCAGCGATTCTCACCTCTTGGCTTCTACACCTTTGTGTGAAGCCCCTTCCCTTTCAGCGTGGATGGCCCCTGTGACTTGTTTCCAACCATATCCCTCTTCCGACTGTGAAGGTGTCAGAATGTCAGCCCTGGATTAGAGTACGTCACACAAGACTGTCTCAGCCTACTGGAGCGAGAGAGGCCTGCTGGCCTGACGAGGTCTGCCGCCATGTTGAGGAAGTCCGCTTGGCGGGGACTGCGAGCAGCCTCTGGGAACTGCAAGTGGTCTTTTGGACCTGAGGCCACCGCCAGGCCTCCGGTCACACGACCACAAGGCAGGGAACTCTGCCAACAATTTGGAGAAGGTCGGAAGCAGATTCTTCAGTCAAGCATCCAGATGAGAACACAGCCTGACCAACACTTTGCAGCCTGGGGAGGCCCTGAGCAGAGGACTTAGTCAAGTCACCTCTGGACTCCTGACCCACAGACATGGGGCTATCATGCATGCAGGTTGCTTTAAGCCACTTAATGTCTGGTAGTTGGTTATGCAGTGGTAGGCAACAAATAGGTTCCCCCCACCCACTGCCTCCAGCCCGCCCTGAGGTCCCCTACAGCTTTAGCAGTTACGTGGACGGTCCCTTGCACCAGGTGTGGGCCAGGCTGGCTGCTGGGCGCCTGGAGCCCCTGGGAGCAACCCTAACCCAGAAGGGATGGGGAGCTACAAGGCTGGGCCACGTTCTACACCTTCCCTCCGAGGGTCCTCAGTGGCACTGAGCTTCCGGAGGGTACAGCAGTGAGTGGCTCATTAGGGCGCCGTGGATCAGGTTAGCTCCTTCCTGGCCTTGCTCTCCCTCGCTTCTGCTCCCCGAGATTAGATTCTTCAAATATTTTCTCTGCCCCACCTTCCCTCTCCTCTCCCAGGACTCCAAAGACATGGACGTCAGAGCTGTTGTTGTTCCCCGGGCCCCCAAGACTGTTGATTTTCCTCCCATCTTCTCTGCTGTGCGGGTTGGAGAATGTCTGTTGATCTCTCGAGTTTGCTGACACCTTCCTGTGTCATCTCCCTTCTGCTCTTCAGTCTGTCCAGTGAGCCTTTTACTTGGGTTAATGTATTTTGTGGTTCTCGAATTTCTATCTGATGGTTCATACCTACCTCCCGCCTCCTGGTGGATACTTTCTATTTTCTATTTTCATATTTACATTTAGGGGAACCCTAGCTGAGATGCCAGGGTTGCTAACTCGGTGGCCTGCCTGAGCCAAGCAGAGACCATACACGAGGGGCAAGGCATGGTGGGGGCTGTGGCAGTGTAGGACTTTTTATACTGGGAGGGGGAGGGACCCTGGGGCCATGTCAGAAAATTCTAGCTGATCTCTGCCAGGCACGAATGCAGGCCTCTCGTTCCTCCGAAAGCTTCACGTGCTTCTGGAAATTGAGATGTCCGAGCGAAACTGTTTTAACCCATAAATATTGGCTCAAACAAGTTTTCAAACACAGCCCCAGCCAAATAAAACACATCAGCCCACAGGTGTTAGTCTGTGGGCTCTTGCTTCAGCCTTTATGGGGGTCAAATGAACATTTCTGTTTTCAATTATTCATGCAATAAATATTTATTGAGCTGGAGTAGCCAGGGACAGCTTCTCTCAAGAGGTGACATTTCAGATGAGCCTTGAACAACAAGAAAGAGCCAGACAAGTAAGGGTCTCGAGGCGGTGGGTATTGGGTTCCTACGGCCGCTATAACAAATGACTGCAAACGGAAAGGCTTAAAACAACCCAAATTTACAGCTTTACAGTTCTGGAGGTCAGAAGTCCAGAATGGGTCTGATTTGGGTCATGACCTGAACCGAAAGCAGATGCTTAACCGACTGAGCCCCCCAGGCGTCCCTTGTCATATGGTAATTTTAAGACATCGCTTTTTTTTGAGCAATTTGAGGTTCACAGAAAAATCGAGAGGTTGGGACAGAGATTGCCTCTATTTCCCCTCCCCCCTCATTATCAACATCTGGTGAATGCCCAGCCTCCGCATCATCCACCCCTGCCACCCGAAGGGTACGTCTCTTACAATTGATGAGACTGCGTTGGCACATCATTATCACCCAAAGTCCACAGTTCACGCTAGTGTGCACTCTTGATGGTGTACGTTCTATGGATTTGGATTCACATATGCATCACTGTAGTATCAAACGAGTCATTTCGCTGCCCTAAAGACCCTTGGTGCTCTGCCATTCATCCCTGTCTCCCGGCTAACTCTTGGCAACCACTCATTTTTATGCCATCTCCAGATTTTACCTTTTCCGGGATGTCATATAGTTGGAACCGTATGGTGTATCACATTTTCAGGCTGGCTTCTCCCACTTCGCCATATGCATGTAAGGCTCCTCCATGTCTTTTGATGGCTTTTGCTGGCTCGTTTCTTTATAGCGCTGAATCATCTTCCATTGTCTGGTTCTTCCATTCACCTACTGAAGGACATCTTGGTTGCTTCCACGTGTTGGCACTTACGAAGAAAGCTGCTATGAACATCTGTGTGCAGGTTTTTGTATGGACCTAAGTTTTCAACTCCTTTGGGTAAATACCAAGGTGTGCAATTGCTGGGTTGTATGGGAAGAGTATGTTTAGTTTTGGAAGAAACTGACAAACTGTCTTCCAAAACGACTGTATCGTTTTCCATTCCCGCCAGCAATAAAGAGGAGTTCCTGTTGCTCCACATCCTCACCAGCATTTGGTGGTGTCTGTGTCCCAGATTTTGGCCATTCTGATAGGTGTGACGTGATATCTTATTGTTTTAATTTGTATTTCCCTGATGACATCTGATGTGGTGCATCTTTTCGTCTGCTTATTAGCCATCTGTATATCCTCTTCGGTGAGGTGTTCTACATTGTAATTTTTTAAAATTCTTAGGCTTACTTTTTAAAAATATAATTATTAATAAATACAATTCCAGCACTTGGCCTTGCTATAGGAAGGAGAAAGAAAGGAGAATGGAGAAAATATTCCTTTTTTTTTTCTCAACACTGCAGAAATGCAGACAAACCTGTCATTAGCCTACATGTCACCTTACTACACAATTTAAAACGGGCTTCCTTCTTATGGACACAGCCTTATATCAGGGTACTGGCTTGGTGAGTCAGGTGTAGAGTGGGTCCCTATTTGCCCCTTGGCTGGCCACTTTGCCTAATGCTGACCTGCACAACTCCACGCGATAACCCTGAATATAGACACCTTCTGCATCACGCAATTGCCTTTGCAAATATTACTTCTATTAGAGGAGTCCTGTAAGTCATTCTATAAGTCAGGATAAGATAGGCTTTGCTACAGTAACAAATAAGTCACAGAATAAGCACAAAGTTTTATTTCTTGCTCACATCATGATCAGATGCAGCTCAGGGCTTTCTTCCAAGCAGTGACCCAGAGGGTACAGGCTGCCCTCTGAAGTGTGGTTTCCAAGGTCACCACAGAAGAGACAGAAAGAACATGGAATCAGGTATGGGGGTTAGGGCCAGGCTTACAAGTGCCACTCATTTTGTCCACATTTCATTGGCCAGAACCTAGTCACACAGCCCCTCCTTAACTGCAAGGGAAGCTTGGAAATGTGGCCTTCTGTGTACCCAGGAAGAGGAGGTCAATTGGTGAGCATCTGGCTGATTATTGCCACAATCCAGGCTTCAGAGATTGTGGCCATGTCCTCTGAAGCATTTTTT